CCTCCGCTACCACCGCTGCCGGGCTTGCCGCGCTGCCCTGGTCGGCTACCTTGCTTCGCCGGGGCGGCGTAGTTTGCCTGCAGCAGGAGCTCCGTGGACTTCTCGGCCTCCTGCATCGCCTCATCCTGCAGGATGTACGAGGTGAGGGAATCCTCGTTGAGCGTCGCCCGCGTGCTCGGCGCCACTGACAGCCGCTTCAGCAGGTTGTAGCTGCTCGTGAGTCCCTTGATCACATGCGTGACGTACGACGCCGTAGAGTAATTCACGCCGGCCATCCTCATCATGGCGAGGAGTCGCCGAGCACGGTTGCAATAGTCGGTTGCCGTCTCCTGCTCGCCCATCCGCAGGTGTGACAGCTGCTCCTCGAGCTGGCCGATGTACAGGTCGTCGGTGACCTGGTACGTCGTCTCGATGAAGTGCCACGCTTGGTGCCCGGCGTCAAGGTGCTCTCTGCACCACTTCAAGGCGATCTGCACGCCCGGCGAGCAGCACCGCGAGATGACCATGAAGGTCAGCAGCTGCACGGCGCGAAACTCCGCACGCAAGTCGGGGTAGATTTCCTCTGGCGTCGCCACGGTCCCACGAGCGAAACCGATCAGCCCGGCCATCTCAAGTTGGGGTTCGATCGCCTCCTTCCAGGTGAGGATGTCCGGTCGACCGACCAGCGGGGGGGTGACCTGGATCCTGTCCGGCGGAAATTTGAAGTAGCCGTAGCTCGGCGCGATCCCTTCCGCGGTCACGTGTGTCGCCGACATCGACGCCACACCACTTCGTCGTCCTCCGACGTAGCCCTGCGAGGTCCCTGCAGCCGCCGACGACTGCATCCCTCGCGCCTGAACGCCGCCGACTTCACCGGCGTGTATCACACCTCTCTGCCGCGATGTGCCTCCCGCACTGCTACCGACTTGGCCTCCATCGGCGTTGACGCCCACGTCGACGCCGCCCTCGGTGTTCGCCGAGAAGGGTGCTCCGTCGCCCACAGGGAACGGATGCCAGCCTCGACGACCGCCCAAGGCAGGTCGCCATACTCGTTGGCCTCGTGCTTCCTCCTCGCGCTTTCCAGCCGTGCCTCTAGGGTGTCCACCACCCCCGTGTCACCTACGGCTACTACCATCGTGACAACCGCACAGCTGCCGGCCTATGAACAACTTAGGTAAGGTGCAACTAAGTCGACTAGACTGAAAGGTAGGTCGGGTGCCGTCCACGCTCACCGCACCATGCGGAGATAACTACTACAACGGGAGCTAGACTACGGGCTAGGCACGGGTGCTCGTGTGATCTCTGCGTTCGTTCGTTCCTTAGTCGTTTCCAAGTGCTAACACTGCTTGCTAGTTCACGAGGAAAATTTGCAAGAGTTTCACTAGGAAATCATCACAACAAGAAAGTTCAGAATGAATTGCATCAACATGCTTGCTGGTCCACTGCCAGCGCAGCACGGTCGACCGCGTGCCAGCACAACTCTGTCGACCGCGCTCCAGCAGAGCAGAGTCGCGGCTTGCCAACGTTGCAAGTCTGCGGTGCGCCAACGCTGCAGTATGTCGGCTGCACAGCGTTGCATCCGCGGGACAACGGTGCACCAGCTTCGCAGGTGCGTGCAGCTGGTTGGCGCCCAACTCCCCGTCACTTGCCCAGCGCAGACACTTCACCCGTGACGGCGCCCACCAGCCACGTCGACCTCGGGATACCACCCCCGAGATCGCCATCGTAGATAACATCCCCGGCGACTTTCGCGTACGTCGCCCGGGTATCCTGGTTGACCGGGTACTTCGCGGTCCTCCCGCGGTTTCTCGGTCACCGCGGTCCTCCGCGGTTTCGTGGCTCCCACAATCCACCACGATTTCGTGGCTCCCGTGGTCCCCCACGATTTCGTGGCTCCCGCGGTCCCCCACGATTTCGTGGCTCCCACGGACCACTGCAATTTCGTGGCTCCCACGGGCCACTGCAATTTCGTGGCTCCCACGGTCGGCTCCGCCCAAGCGAGGACGGGGCCAAACACAACTCCCGTTGACATTTCTCAGTAGGATTGTGTACGCCATCATTGACTGATAGGTGTACTGCTGCTTCTCGTACTGTGTGCCGTTTGTTGGGTATGGCAGGGACCCGTCGAAGAAGCCGAGGATTTGCGCGCCTTCCATCATCAGCTCGAATTCGAACGACCAGGTGAAGAACTCCTTTCCGTCGAAAGGTCTTAACGTCTGCAGTTTCAGAACGTGTGCGAACTGCGACTGAACTTGTAACGCGTCCAGTGTTTTCTCTTGTCCAGGTGAAGGCTGCGGGTGCGGCATGAAGCTGATGGACCCGCGCTCGTACGGAGCAAAGGTAGGCTGCTGCTGTTGATTTCCGCGTGAGTACGATGAGCCATCAAGACTCATGGGAGTCACTTCGTTGTTGTTGTCGTTGTGTGACTGCGCAGGTGCCGATTGCTGGTGTTGCTCGTAGAAGGACATGAAGGAGAAAAACTTCTCCATCATGCTCTGGTCGAAGCTGGCAGGTTGACTTGCTGAAGGTGCTGCTGCTGGTCTCGTTGCCGTGTCCTCCTCTGTCTGCAGGCCAGAGGCAGGAGGTGGAGTAGGAGTAGTGCCGGGAGAACCGTTAGAGGAACTCCTTTCCTTGTGTGTTGCCATATCTTCTGATGTTGTAGATGACTTCATAGTACTTGAATTCCCCTTGATAGCTCTCATACCATGTTGGGCTGAGAAATAGCCCTTAGGATCTTTACAGGGGTGAACTCTGGGTATAAAACGATGTACCGTATTCCCCCGGACATACCACCCTAGGGTGCTATGATAACTACAACAAAAAAAGGGGGGGGGGGGGGTCTTGTCATGGGAAAAAGCTACATAACACCCGGGTCTTTTTATACGGTATTTTTTAGTGTAAGGATTTTGATGCAGAGACAACTTGGGTGTTTTCAGAGTTGGTTTATCCTTTTCACTCCCCTTGAAACTGCCAAGTGGCACCTTTTTGGCCACTTGGTAGTGAACAATCTTCCAGCGTGGCAGTAGCGTAAAAGAGGGAGGGGGGTGATTTCGGTAGATTCTATCGAAACTACCATGAAATTTCATCGCGGAAGTTATTTCCGCGATGTTCTGCAGTACTCGCTAACAGCTATAATAAGAAATTTTGTATGAAAGGGGGGTGTTATAGAAAATCACCCCAAAAGGGGGGTATAGTAGAAACGAGGCCCGCTATAGCACCCCCTGTCAGAGGTCCACTGGTGATCCCCGATTGATCCTAGGGAAGGGTTACAGGCACGTTGGCCTGGGGGGTTATGGGCGCACTCACCCGCTACATAAACAAGCCATTTTATCCCAGTGGTTAGTGGCTGGGATTCTGACATGGTATCAGAGCGAAGGTCTTGGGTTCGAATCCCGGTGTGTGCACCTCGGGCATCCCAGTGCGGGGGAGTGTCAGAGGTCCACTGGTGATCCCCGATTGATCCTAGGGAAGGGTTACAGGCACGTTGGCCTGGGGGGTTATGGGCGCACTCACCCGCTACATAAACAAGCCCTTTTATCCCAGTGGTTAGTGGCTGGGATTCTGACACCCCCCCCGCACAAGCCACCCGGGGGGTGCTCTATTTCGGCGGGTGGTATGTCCGGGGGAATACGGTAATAACGGAAGCGTTTTAAAAAAGTAGTTGAACCACCTTGCGCTGGTATGTGAGGGCAAAGTGAATTGATTAAAGCAAAGAGATACAAGATTATATAAGAGTGCAAAAAATATGAAAGGATCTAACTATAACTGTTTTACTGTTGCTGTTGCGGTTCGATACAGTGACGACTCGGGCAACTGCTCTGTAGCGAGTCAGTTGTGTGTCCTTGCTGTCGCGCTGTACTTGTCAGGTCAAAGGTCGCTGACTTTTGACTTTCACGTAATCTCCAGCAACTGCTCAACCTCCGAGGGTTGACTCGCCGGTGCTTCGATATACTTTGCTTCGCTTCTGACTTGGTGTTTCGACACGACAGAGGCGCTTAGAATTAATTGTTTCCAACACGTGCGTGCGTGCGTGTGTGTGTGCGTGTGTGTGTGTGCGTGTGTGTGTGTGTGTGTGTGTGTGTGTGTGTAGTAAAAGAATTAAGAGGTGCACAAGAAGTAAAGGTTTCTAGGGGGTTGCCGTTTTATCGAGTTCCGGCTAAAAGCGCGGCGCTTCATATAGAAGTGCATGCGCTAATTTACGGATATATCCGAGACCATATGGTATTTTATGATTTTGCATTTTTTATTTATAATCCGGATAGTTAGTAGTTACCGCATGTACATCACTTGTGTTTTACGAAATAGCTGATACCGTCATACCCCGGATAGAAGCGCAGGCCTCGGATAAGCGCCGGCGCTTATAAAGGGATGAGGGCGCTTATATCCGGTCCTCGATTATAAGCGCACCCCCTAAAAATTTATGATTTATTATAAGCGCATGTCTAATATTATTTGAAAATCAGTCGAAATTCAGAAAAGAATTTCATCTTACCAGGGAAGCAAAGTACAGGTCCACTTTCCCACTCACATCACACTTGCTGCGCGTCTAGTCAGCACGCGCTGTCGCTTAGTCAGCATGTGTTGGCAGGGAATCTATCCCTGCCAAGGTGCTCGAGAGTCAGATTCGCGACCCCATATATTTTCGACTCGATTGCTATTGCCAGAACGAGATCTACAGTTTGGTGTTAAGATATAACTTCATTTCATTTTGCCGTTATATAAGCGCATGCGCTTATAAATTTCCTCAATTATAAGCGCACCCAAAAAAAAACAGTGTTTTATTACAACCCCAGGGGCGCCTCTATCCGGGGTATGACGGTACACCCCTCGGAATAAGGTATCAATTGAAGTCTGCTAACCTCGGTCCGAGGTGGTTGTGGGCGAGCAACCCTGGTTCAACAGAATACCGTGGAAGAAGGCTGAGCCCTGCAAGTGCCAGGCTACACCGCCAAGCCCTCACACATGTGCACATACTCTCTGCAACCTGCCTCTCCCATGCCTTGTCCTTCCCTGGCAGCCCGCTAGCAGGCGGGGGCGCCAATGTGGGCGGTGATCTGCAAGAGGTGGTCCTCTAGCAACTCCAGCAACGCCCTCTCTTGCACCGCCCTCTCTTGCACCGCCCTCTCTTGCATCGCCCGCCTCCCACCCCACGCCTCTCCTCCCCTCGCCCCTCCTGTTGCCAACGACCCCCTTCCCTGACCCATTGCTGCGGCCCGTGCGGACCGCACAGCAGCAAGGCGGATGGCAACTCGTGGATCATCCATCACACCCACCTCTGCTGCTGCAGCACCTGCAGCAGCGTGAGCAGCAGCAGCATGGGCAGCATGACCAGCACTCACGCTCCTCCTTCCATCCACCTGCTCCTCCCTTCCCCTCGCTCCTCCAACACCCCCTGCCCCATGCCCTCCCAGGCTTCTCCTCCGCGCCTTGCCAGGCGAGGGCGAGAACCCAGAGGGCGGCAGGCGGGTGGCAAGGGCAGTGCTGGTGCTGGTGCTGGTGGTGCGCAGCACAGCGGCGGAGGGGCTGCTGCTACCCGCGCCCATGCCACGCTGCCCCTCCCCCGCGCCTCCCCCCTCCATCAGCTCTGCACTGCGCTTGCGACTCACCCGCCTGCCATCCCACCACACACCCCATTCCCCTCCACCTTGCTCTGCCCCCTCGTCCGCCACATCACCCCTCGCCACGTCATCATCCAGGTCAGCATCGGCATCGCTGCTGGCGAGGGCGGTGGAGCGGGCGAGGGGGGAGGAGGTGGCGGTGAAGAGTGTGTCGCCGGGGTCGCCCTGCTCGTCGCACATGAGCGCCCGCGTGCCCGGCGACAACGACTGCTGCTGCCACCCCTCCACCCCCTCCTCCTGCTGCTCCTGCCCTCCACCTCCTACCTTGGCACCTCCCACCACTTCCTCATCCCCATCTCCCTCCTCCACCTCGCCCTCCACCAAGCTCGCAGTCGTTGCCCGCAGCTCTCCCCTCTCCTGCCCCGCCTGTGCGGCTCTGCTCTCATCGCTGCCCTCCTGCTTCATGCTCACCTGCTCCCTCCCCTTACCCCCTCGCCCCTCCTCCTCCTCACCGCCCTCCACCTGTTTCTCCTCTGCATCCACTGCTTGCCCCCTCTCTTCCTCAGCAGCCATTGCCCCACCACCTGCCAGCACCACATCGCCCACCGCCTTCACATCGCCCACCGCCTTCACATCTTGCTTGCCACCACCAACGCATGCAGCACCAAGAGGCGACACACTGGGACCCAGCAGCATGCGAGTCAACTCACACACCTTCCCCGCTGCACCCACTCCCACCTCCTCGTCCACCTCCACTACCACCCCACCCTCTTCCAAACACGCCTCAGTCTCACCTTTCTTCTCACTCTCTTCCTTCTTCTCACTCTCTTCCTTCTTCTCACTCTCTTCCTTCTTCTCACTCTCGCCCTTTTTCTCACAGTCACCATTCTTCTTACTCTCACCCTTCTCACTGTTATCCTTCTTCTCACTCTCGCCCTTCTTCTCACTCTCGCCCTTCTTCTCACTCTCGCCCTTCTTCTCACTCTCGCCCTTCTTCTCACTCTCGCCCTTCTTCTCACTCTCGCCCTTCTTCTCACTCTCGCCCTGCTTCTCACTCTCGCCCTTCTTCTCACTCTCACCCTTCTTCTCACTCTCGCCCTTCTTCTCACTCTCGCCCTTCTTCTCACTCTCGCCCTGCTTCTCACTCTCGCCCTTCTTCTCACTCTCGCCCTTCTTCTCACTCTCGCCCTTCTTCTCACTCTCGCCCTTCTTCTCACTCTCGCCCTTCTTCTCACTCTCTCCCTTCTTCTCACTCTCGCCCTTCTTCTCACTCTCGCCCTTCTTCTCACTCTCGCCCTTCTTCTCACTCTCGCCCTTCTTCTCACTCTCGCCCTTCTTCTCACTCTCGCCCTTCTTCTCACTCTCGCCCTTCTTCTCACTCTCGCCCTTCTTCTCACTCTCTCCCTTCTTCTCACTTTCGCCCTTCTTCTCACTCTCGCCCTTCTTCTCACTCTCGCCCTTCTTCTCAATCTCGCCCTTCTTCTCACTCTCGCCCTTCTTCTCACTCTCTCCCTTCTCACTTTCGCCCTTCTTCTCACTCTCGCCCTTCTTCTCACTCTCGCCCTTCTTCTCACTCTCGCCCTTCTTCTCACTCTCTCCCTTCTTCTCACTCTCTCCCTTCTTCTCACTCTCGCCCTTCGTCTCACTCTCTCCCTTCTTCTCACTCTCTCCCTTCGTCTCACTCTCTCCCTGCTTCTCACTCTCGCCTTTCTTCTCACCCTCGCCCTTGTTGCTGCTGCCGCCAATCTTGCCCTTACAGTCACGCTTGTCCATTGCACATGCCCACTCTTTCTTCACACAGCCACCACCACCACCACCCCCCTCACCACTTGCGCCCTCACCCACCCCTCCCACCCCCCCCACAAAACCCCCCAGCCTCTGTGACGGGGGCTCAGCCCGCCACCCCCTCTCCTCCGTGTGCCGCTGCTCCGCCTTGCTCTCTCCACCGCCCCCTTGCTCCCTGCACCCCACACCTGCACTCCCCACGCGCTCACTGCTCACCACCTCATCTTTATCCCGCGCCACCACACTTGACTTGCCGCCTGCCTCGCCCACCACCACCAAGTGGCCTTCTTGGGCCACACCACACTTGCTATCTTCTCCTCCTTCCTTCTCCCTCCTTTCCATCTCTTCTCTCTCCTTCATTTCATTCTCTACTCCTTTCTCTTTACCTCCGCCATTCTTCCCTTCTCTCTCCTTCCCTTTTCTTCTCTTTCCATCTCTTTCCTTCCCTTCTCTCTCATTACCTTCTCTCCTCTTCCCTTCTTCGCCCTTCCCTCCTCGTTCCCTCGAGTCTCGCTGTCTTCCTTCCCTATCCTTCCCTTCTCTCCCCTTCCTATCTCTCTCCTTGTATCTCCACTTTTCTACATAGCTCTCTCTGTATCTCTCCTTTCCTTCCCTCCTCTTTGCTTCTCCCTCCCTACCTTTCCTCTTCTTCCATTCTCTCTCCCGCCCTCCTCTGTGCTTCCCATCTCTCCTCGTCCCTTCCCCCTCCTTCAAATCTCGACTTCTTTCTCTCCCCTTCCGTTCCCTCTTACCATCTCTCTCCTTCCAATCGCGCTCCCTCCCACCTGGCCCCTCCCGACCTCTCTCCTCTCCATCCTTGTCCTTCCCTTCCCTCCTGTTCGATCCTCTCTCGCTCCCATCCCTTCTCTTTTCAACAATCACCTTCCCTTTCCTCCCTGTCTCTACACTCTCCTTCATGACCTTCCCGTCACTCCTCATCTCCTCACTCTCCGTTCCTCCCCTCTCGTCATCATCTCGCGCCTTCTCTTCACTCCTCATTCTTTCCCTTCGTTCCATCCCTGGCAATTCGCTCTCATCAGCTTCTCTCTCCTTATCTTTATTTTCCCCATCTGTCCTATCCCCTCCTCTCTCCTCCCCTTTTCTCTCGTCTCTGCTCTCCTCCTCTTCTCTCATTTCCCCTTCAATGTCCTCCCATCCTCTCTTCTCCCCATCACTCTCCTCCCCATTACTCTCCTCCCCATTACTCTCCTCCCCATCACTCTCTTCCCCATCACTCTCCTCCCCTTCCCTCTCCCCCCCATCCCTCTCCGCGCCATACTTCTCTTTCTCATCTTTCTCCTCTCTATCTCTCTCCTCCCCTTCCGTTTCCTCCCCTTCCCTTTCCACACCTCCATCCCCCTCCTCGGTTTCTACCCTATCGATCGCCTTTTCATCCTCCTTGTGTCCAGGGCGATTGTCACCGAGCATCCCTGGCATGATCACATCACCATGACCGCCAGCAGCCTGGCTCTCTGCCCTACCCACGCCTCTCACCTCCCCATCCGTCCTCGCGCCTCCACCCTCGCCTCCCTCTCTTGCCTGCCCCTCGCCTCCCTCTCTCGCCTGCCCCTGCTCTCGGCGATCACCGCCCCCCTCACTCCCTTTCCCCCCACCGTGCCCCGCCACCCCACCCATGCTCTCCTCCTCCACCGCCCTGCTCTCCTCCTCCACCGCCCTGCTCTCCTCCTCCACCGCCCTGCTCTCCTCCACTCGCCCGCCGTGCCCCTCTGCCCTCTCACTCGCCCCCCTGCCTCCATCACCCGCCTCGCCTGCACTGCCTGCACGCTCACACTCTGCCCTGGGAGCACCAGACAGCTGGGGAGGAGCAGACAGCTGGGGAGGAGCAGCGGAGAGGTGAGCAGAAGCGGGCAGGTGGGGGCCCTGGAAGCCGAGCTTGACTGTGGCGGTGGGACTGTGGGGAGGGCTCTGCTGCGCGGGGGCGGGTTGAGAAGGCTCCTCTGCTGCAGCGCGTGCTTCAGCTGCCTCAGCTGCCAGTGCTGGCCGCACTGCCTCTGGCTCCGGCGAGACGGATACTGCTGGAGAGGTGCACGCGCACACAGGCAGGCACACGCAGTGAGAGGGCACGAGGGAGAAAAAACGTTTGACTAGGGCGCCCTATGCCCTCTGCCCTTGCGCAGCGCCGTGTGCGCTGTGTCCGGCAGTGGTGAGGGGGTGGCAGGGAGGATGAGAAAGGCAACGCCGCGCTACAATGACATGGGCTTGCAGCACGGATACCACCCGTGGGCTTGCAGCACGGATACCACCCGTGGGCTTGCAGCACGGATACCACCCGTGGGCTTGCAGCACGGATACCACCCGTGGGCTTGCAGCACGGATACCACCCGTGGGCTTGCAGCACGGATACCACCCGTGGGCTTGCAGCACGGATACCACCCGTGGGCTTGCAGCACGGATACCACCCGTGGGCTTGCAGCACGGATACCACCCGTGGGCTTGCAGCACGGATACCACCCGTGGGCTTGCAGCACGGATACCACCCGTGGGCTTGCAGCACGGATACCACCCGTGGGCTTGCAGCACGGATACCACCCGTGGGCTTGCAGCACGGATACCACCCGTGGGCTTGCAGCACGGATACCACCCGTGGGCTTGCAGCACGGATACCACCCGTGGGCTTGCAGCACGGATACCACCCGTGGGCTTGCAGCACGGATACCACCCGTGGGCTTGCAGCACGGATACCACCCGTGGGCTTGCAGCACGGATACCACCCGTGGGCTTGCAGCACGGATACCACCCGTGGGCTTGCAGCACGGATACCACCCGTGGGCTTGCAGCACGGATACCACCCGTGGGCTTGCAGCACGGATACCACCCGTGGGCTTGCAGCACGGATACCACCCGTGGGCTTGCAGCACGGATACCACCCGTGGGCTTGCAGCACGGATACCACCCGTGGGCTTGCAGCACGGATACCACCCGTGGGCTTGCAGCACGGATACCACCCGTGGGCTTGCAGCACGGATACCACCCGTGGGCTTGCAGCACGGATACCACCCGTGGGCTTGCAGCACGGATACCACCCGTGGGCTTGCAGCACGGATACCACCCGTGGGCTTGCAGCACGGATACCACCCGTGGGCTTGCAGCACGGATACCACCCGTGGGCTTGCAGCACGGATACCACCCGTGGGCTTGCAGCACGGATACCACCCGTGGGCTTGCAGCACGGATACCACCCGTGGGCTTGCAGCACGGATACCACCCGTGGGCTTGCAGCACGGATACCACCCGTGGGCTTGCAGCACGGATACCACCCGTGGGCTTGCAGCACGGATACCACCCGTGGGCTTGCAGCACGGATACCACCCGTGGGCTTGCAGCACGGATACCACCCGTGGGCTTGCAGCACGGATACCACCCGTGGGCTTGCAGCACGGATACCACCCGTGGGCTTGCAGCACGGATACCACCCGTGGGCTTGCAGCACGGATACCACCCGTGGGCTTGCAGCACGGATACCACCCGTGGGCTTGCAGCACGGATACCACCCGTGGGCTTGCAGCACGGATACCACCCGTGGGCTTGCAGCACGGATACCACCCGTGGGCTTGCAGCACGGATACCACCCGTGGGCTTGCAGCACGGATACCACCCGTGGGCTTGCAGCACGGATACCACCCGTGGGCTTGCAGCACGGATACCACCCGTGGGCTTGCAGCACGGATACCACCCGTGGGCTTGCAGCACGGATACCACCCGTGGGCTTGCAGCACGGATACCACCCGTGGGCTTGCAGCACGGATACCACCCGTGGGCTTGCAGCACGGATACCACCCGTGGGCTTGCAGCACGGATACCACCCGTGGGCTTGCAGCACGGATACCACCCGTGGGCTTGCAGCACGGATACCACCCGTGGGCTTGCAGCACGGATACCACCCGTGGGCTTGCAGCACGGATACCACCCGTGGGCTTGCAGCACGGATACCACCCGTGGGCTTGCAGCACGGATACCACCCGTGGGCTTGCAGCACGGATACCACCCGTGGGCTTGCAGCACGGATACCACCCGTGGGCTTGCAGCACGGATACCACCCGTGGGCTTGCAGCACGGATACCACCCGTGGGCTTGCAGCACGGATACCACCCGTGGGCTTGCAGCACGGATACCACCCGTGGGCTTGCAGCACGGATACCACCCGTGGGCTTGCAGCACGGATACCACCCGTGGGCTTGCAGCACGGATACCACCCGTGGGCTTGCAGCACGGATACCACCCGTGGGCTTGCAGCACGGATACCACCCGTGGGCTTGCAGCACGGATACCACCCGTGGGCTTGCAGCACGGATACCACCCGTGGGCTTGCAGCACGGATACCACCCGTGGGCTTGCAGCACGGATACCACCCGTGGGCTTGCAGCACGGATACCACCCGTGGGCTTGCAGCACGGATACCACCCGTGGGCTTGCAGCACGGATACCACCCGTGGGCTTGCAGCACGGATACCACCCGTGGGCTTGCAGCACGGATACCACCCGTGGGCTTGCAGCACGGATACCACCCGTGGGCTTGCAGCACGGATACCACCCGTGGGCTTGCAGCACGGATACCACCCGTGGGCTTGCAGCACGGATACCACCCGTGGGCTTGCAGCACGGATACCACCCGTGGGCTTGCAGCACGGATACCACCCGTGGGCTTGCAGCACGGATACCACCCGTGGGCTTGCAGCACGGATACCACCCGTGGGCTTGCAGCACGGATACCACCCGTGGGCTTGCAGCACGGATACCACCCGTGGGCTTGCAGCACGGATACCACCCGTGGGCTTGCAGCACGGATACCACCCGTGGGCTTGCAGCACGGATACCACCCGTGGGCTTGCAGCACGGATACCACCCGTGGGCTTGCAGCACGGATACCACCCGTGGGCTTGCAGCACGGATACCACCCGTGGGCTTGCAGCACGGATACCACCCGTGGGCTTGCAGCACGGATACCACCCGTGGGCTTGCAGCACGGATACCACCCGTGGGCTTGCAGCACGGATACCACCCGTGGGCTTGCAGCACGGATACCACCCGTGGGCTTGCAGCACGGATACCACCCGTGGGCTTGCAGCACGGATACCACCCGTGGGCTTGCAGCACGGATACCACCCGTGGGCTTGCAGCACGGATACCACCCGTGGGCTTGCAGCACGGATACCACCCGTGGGCTTGCAGCACGGATACCACCCGTGGGCTTGCAGCACGGATACCACCCGTGGGCTTGCAGCACGGATACCACCCGTGGGCTTGCAGCACGGATACCACCCGTGGGCTTGCAGCACGGATACCACCCGTGGGCTTGCAGCACGGATACCACCCGTGGGCTTGCAGCACGGATACCACCCGTGGGCTTGCAGCACGGATACCACCCGTGGGCTTGCAGCACGGATACCACCCGTGGGCTTGCAGCACGGATACCACCCGTGGGCTTGCAGCACGGATACCACCCGTGGGCTTGCAGCACGGATACCACCCGTGGGCTTGCAGCACGGATACCACCCGTGGGCTTGCAGCACGGATACCACCCGTGGGCTTGCAGCACGGATACCACCCGTGGGCTTGCAGCACGGATACCACCCGTGGGCTTGCAGCACGGATACCACCCGTGGGCTTGCAGCACGGATACCACCCGTGGGCTTGCAGCACGGATACCACCCGTGGGCTTGCAGCACGGATACCACCCGTGGGCTTGCAGCACGGATACCACCCGTGGGCTTGCAGCACGGATACCACCCGTGGGCTTGCAGCACGGATACCACCCGTGGGCTTGCAGCACGGATACCACCCGTGGGCTTGCAGCACGGATACCACCCGTGGGCTTGCAGCACGGATACCACCCGTGGGCTTGCAGCACGGATACCACCCGTGGGCTTGCAGCACGGATACCACCCGTGGGCTTGCAGCACGGATACCACCCGTGGGCTTGCAGCACGGATACCACCCGTGGGCTTGCAGCACGGATACCACCCGTGGGCTTGCAGCACGGATACCACCCGTGGGCTTGCAGCACGGATACCACCCGTGGGCTTGCAGCACGGATACCACCCGTGGGCTTGCAGCACGGATACCACCCGTGGGCTTGCAGCACGGATACCACCCGTGGGCTTGCAGCACGGATACCACCCGTGGGCTTGCAGCACGGATACCACCCGTGGGCTTGCAGCACGGATACCACCCGTGGGCTTGCAGCACGGATACCACCCGTGGGCTTGCAGCACGGATACCACCCGTGGGCTTGCAGCACGGATACCACCCGTGGGCTTGCAGCACGGATACCACCCGTGGGCTTGCAGCACGGATACCACCCGTGGGCTTGCAGCACGGATACCACCCGTGGGCTTGCAGCACGGATACCACCCGTGGGCTTGCAGCACGGATACCACCCGTGGGCTTGCAGCACGGATACCACCCGTGGGCTTGCAGCACGGATACCACCCGTGGGCTTGCAGCACGGATACCACCCGTGGGCTTGCAGCACGGATACCACCCGTGGGCTTGCAGCACGGATACCACCCGTGGGCTTGCAGCACGGATACCACCCGTGGGCTTGCAGCACGGATACCACCCGTGGGCTTGCAGCACGGATACCACCCGTGGGCTTGCAGCACGGATACCACCCGTGGGCTTGCAGCACGGATACCACCCGTGGGCTTGCAGCACGGATACCACCCGTGGGCTTGCAGCACGGATACCACCCGTGGGCTTGCAGCACGGATACCACCCGTGGGCTTGCAGCACGGATACCACCCGTGGGCTTGCAGCACGGATACCACCCGTGGGCTTGCAGCACGGATACCACCCGTGGGCTTGCAGCACGGATACCACCCGTGGGCTTGCAGCACGGATACCACCCGTGGGCTTGCAGCACGGATACCACCCGTGGGCTTGCAGCACGGATACCACCCGTGGGCTTGCAGCACGGATACCACCCGTGGGCTTGCAGCACGGATACCACCCGTGGGCTTGCAGCACGGATACCACCCGTGGGCTTGCAGCACGGATACCACCCGTGGGCTTGCAGCACGGATACCACCCGTGGGCTTGCAGCACGGATACCACCCGTGGGCTTGCAGCACGGATACCACCCGTGGGCTTGCAGCACGGATACCACCCGTGGGCTTGCAGCACGGATACCACCCGTGGGCTTGCAGCACGGATACCACCCGTGGGCTTGCAGCACGGATACCACCCGTGGGCTTGCAGCACGGATACCACCCGTGGGCTTGCAGCACGGATACCACCCGTGGGCTTGCAGCACGGATACCACCCGTGGGCTTGCAGCACGGATACCACCCGTGGGCTTGCAGCACGGATACCACCCGTGGGCTTGCAGCACGGATACCACCCGTGGGCTTGCAGCACGGATACCACCCGTGGGCTTGCAGCACGGATACCACCCGTGGGCTTGCAGCACGGATACCACCCGTGGGCTTGCAGCACGGATACCACCCGTGGGCTCGCAGCACGGATACCACCCGTGGGCTCGCAGCACGGATACCACCCGTGGGCTTGCAGCACGGATACCACCCGTGGGCTTGCAGCACGTGGGCTTGCAGCACGGATACCACCCGTGGGCTTGCAGCACGGATACCACCCGTGGGCTTGCAGCACGGATACCACCCGTGGGCTTGCAGCACGGATACCACCCGTGGGCTTGCAGCACGGATACCACCCGTGGGCTTGCAGCACGGATACCACCCGTGGGCTTGCAGCACGGATACCACCCGTGGGCTTGCAGCACGGATACCACCCGTGGGCTTGCAGCACGGATACCACCCGTGGGCTTGCAGCACGGATACCACCCGTGGGCTTGCAGCACGGATACCACCCGTGGGCTTGCAGCACGGATACCACCCGTGGGCTTGCAGCACGGATACCACCCGTGGGCTTGCAGCACGGATACCACCCGTGGGCTTGCAGCACGGATACCACCCGTGGGCTTGCAGCACGGATACCACCCGTGGGCTTGCAGCACGGATACCACCCGTGGGCTTGCAGCACGGATACCACCCGTGGGCTTGCAGCACGGATACCACCCGTGGGCTTGCAGCACGGATACCACCCGTGGGCTTGCAGCACGGATACCACCCGTGGGCTTGCAGCACGGATACCACCCGTGGGCTTGCAGCACGGATACCACCCGTGGGCTTGCAGCACGGATACCACCCGTGGGCTTGCAGCACGGATACCACCCGTGGGCTTGCAGCACGGATACCACCCGTGGGCTTGCAGCACGGATACCACCCGTGGGCTTGCAGCACGGATACCACCCGTGGGCTTGCAGCACGGATACCACCCGTGGGCTTGCAGCACGGATACCACCCGTGGGCTTGCAGCACGGATACCACCCGTGGGCTTGCAGCACGGATACCACCCGTGGGCTTGCAGCACGGATACCACCCGTGGGCTTGCAGCACGGATACCACCCGTGGGCTTGCAGCACGGATACCACCCGTGGGCTTGCAGCACGGATACCACCCGTGGGCTTGCAGCACGGATACCACCCGTGGGCTTGCAGCACGGATACCACCCGTGGGCTTGCAGCACGGATACCACCCGTGGGCTTGCAGCACGGATACCACCCGTGGGCTTGCAGCACGGATACCACCCGTGGGCTTGCAGCACGGATACCACCCGTGGGCTTGCAGCACGGATACCACCCGTGGGCTTGCAGCACGGATACCACCCGTGGGCTTGCAGCACGGATACCACCCGTGGGCTTGCAGCACGGATACCACCCGTGGGCTTGCAGCACGGATACCACCCGTGGGCTTGCAGCACGGATACCACCCGTGGGCTTGCAGCACGGATACCACCCGTGGGCTTGCAGCACGGATACCACCCGTGGGCTTGCAGCACGGATACCACCCGTGGGCTTGCAGCACGGATACCACCCGTGGGCTTGCAGCACGGATACCACCCGTGGGCTTGCAGCACGGATACCACCCGTGGGCTTGCAGCACGGATACCACCCGTGGGCTTGCAGCACGGATACCACCCGTGGGCTTGCAGCACGGATACCACCCGTGGGCTTGCAGCACGGATACCACCCGTGGGCTTGCAGCACGGATACCACCCGTGGGCTTGCAGCACGGATACCACCCGTGGGCTTGCAGCACGGATACCACCCGTGGGCTTGCAGCACGGATACCACCCGTGGGCTTGCAGCACGGATACCACCCGTGGGCTTGCAGCACGGATACCACCCGTGGGCTTGCAGCACGGATACCACCCGTGGGCTTGCAGCACGGATACCACCCGTGGGCTTGCAGCACGGATACCACCCGTGGGCTTGCAGCACGGATACCACCCGTGGGCTTGCAGCACGGATACCACCCGTGGGCTTGCAGCACGGATACCACCCGTGGGCTTGCAGCACGGATACCACCCGTGGGCTTGCAGCACGGATACCACCCGTGGGCTTGCAGCACGGATACCACCCGTGGGCTTGCAGCACGGATACCACCCGTGGGCTTGCAGCACGGATACCACCCGTGGGCTTGCAGCACGGATACCACCCGTGGGCTTGCAGCACGGATACCACCCGTGGGCTTGCAGCACGGATACCACCCGTGGGCTTGCAGCACGGATACCACCCGTGGGCTTGCAGCACGGATACCACCCGTGGGCTTGCAGCACGGATACCACCCGTGGGCTTGCAGCACGGATACCACCCGTGGGCTTGCAGCACGGATACCACCCGTGGGCTTGCAGCACGGATACCACCCGTGGGCTTGCAGCACGGATACCACCCGTGGGCTTGCAGCACGGATACCACCCGTGGGCTTGCAGCACGGATACCACCCGTGGGCTTGCAGCACGGATACCACCCGTGGGCTTGCAGCACGGATACCACCCGTGGGCTTGCAGCACGGATACCACCCGTGGGCTTGCAGCACGGATACCACCCGTGGGCTTGCAGCACGGATACCACCCGTGGGCTTGCAGCACGGATACCACCCGTGGGCTTGCAGCACGGATACCACCCGTGGGCTTGCAGCACGGATACCACCCGTGGGCTTGCAGCACGGATACCACCCGTGGGCTTGCAGCACGGATACCACCCGTGGGCTTGCAGCACGGATACCACCCGTGGGCTTGCAGCACGGATACCACCCGTGGGCTTGCAGCACGGATACCACCCGTGGGCTTGCAGCACGGATACCACCCGTGGGCTTGCAGCACGGATACCACCCGTGGGCTTGCAGCACGGATACCACCCGTGGGCTTGCAGCACAGATACCACCCGTGGGCTTGCAGCACGGATACCACCCGTGGGCTTGCAGCACGGATACCACCCGTGGGCTTGCAGCACGGATACCACCCGTGGGCTTGCAGCACGGATACCACCCGTGGGCTTGCAGCACGGATACCACCCGTGGGCTTGCAGCACGGATACCACCCGTGGGCTTGCAGCACGGATACCACCCGTGGGCTTGCAGCACGGATACCACCCGTGGGCTTGCAGCACGGATACCACCCGTGGGCTTTCAGCACGGATACCACCCGTGGGCTTGCAGCACGGATACCACCCGTGGGCTTGCAGCACGGATACCACCCGTGGGCTTGCAGCACGGATACCACCCGTGGGCTTGCAGCACGGATACCACCCGTGGGCTTGCAGCACGGATACCACCCGTGGGCTTGCAGCACGGATACCACCCGTGGGCTTGCAGCACGGATACCACCCGTGGGCTTGCAGCACGGATACCACCCGTGGGCTTGCAGCACGGATACCACCCGTGGGCTTGCAGCACGGATACCACCCGTGGGCTTGCAGCACGGATACCACCCGTGGGCTTGCAGCACGGATACCACCCGTGGGCTTGCAGCACGGATACCACCCGTGGGCTTGCAGCACGGATACCACCCGTGGGCTTGCAGCACGGATACCACCCGTGGGCTTGCAGCACGGATACCACCCGTGGGCTTGCAGCACGGATACCACCCGTGGGCTTGCAGCACGGATACCACCCGTGGGCTCGCACGCAGACGGGGAGAGCAAACCATAGCGAGGCTGATTGGAAGGCGGGATAAGCATTTCATTTTACATTCCAAGCGAGCGACGCGCGTGCGAAGGAGTGGCAACAGAGGCATATGACTGACTTGTGATACGCCACTCACTGCACGCGCTGTACTCGTGCTGAATGCTACTCACTGCACGCGCTGTACTCGTGCTGAATGCCCCACGCCAGCGCCGCCATGAGCATGCACGTGCGCCGCGCCGCCCACACGGAGAGGGGCGAGGCCGCCGAGGGGGAGGGCAGGGCGGGCATGGAGGGCGCGTGGGAGGGGGAGAGGCCCGCCAGGGGGGGGTGCGGGGAGGGCGACCTGCGGGGCATGTGGGGAGGGGGAGGTTGGGCGCGCAGGGGGTGGAGGAGACAGGGTGAGTGAGAGGTGGCAGGGTGAGTGCGAGGTGGCAGGGGCAAAGGGACGAGGGGATGGAAGGGAGATGAAGGGGACGGGGAACTGAGGGAAGCTTGAGGAGAAACGGAAAAACAAAAAACAGGAGATGCAAGAAAAGTCAACGATTCTGAAGGGTTGGGCGCGTTGGGTGTGTGCAGTGCAATGCACGCGCTGCAGTTGGTGAAAGCAATGAGGTCACGTGGGGGTGCTGGGCTCTCCTTCCGCCCACCTCTGTGCGACCCTCCATCTGAAGCGCATCGAATCAAAGCTCAGCAGTGCAACAGCCACGTCACTCTTGCTTCCTGACCTGCTTGCCGGTGATACTGACTCAAGGGAATCACACCGTGTGGTGGGCACACGTGAGTCCCTCCCAGGCCAGCCAGCGCGTACCTCAAGGCGGCAGGTGGGTGCATGTGCACGGTGCTGCCGTCAGGACTCCCTCCCCCCACCACATGCCCACCCGCGTGGCCCCCGCCCCTCCCATCCCATGCCCCGCCCATCCCACCGCCCATGGCACCCCCAGCAGCAGCAGCGTGGGCAGGCACAGGGGAGTGGTGAGGCCGAAAGGGAGGGTACGATTGCGAGTGAGCGAGCGAGTGAGAGGGTGTGCGAGCGTGTGCGTGGGCGTGCGGGGATGTGTGGGAGTGCAGCCCAGCGCGCGCAGCAGGAGGCGTGAAGGCGGACGCCTTGGTGGGGGTGACCATGCGCTGGTACGCTGCCATCTGTGGGGGGGGGGGAGTAGTGGGGAGAGGGGAGGGGGGAGGGGGGAGGGGGAGATGAACAAGAAAGAAGGTGGAGGAAGGACGGCACGTCGCAATGCGTGGTGCTGTGGTGTGCTGTGGTGTGCTGTGGTGTGCTGTGGTGTGCTGTGGTGTGCTGTGGTGTGCTGTGGTGTGCTGTGGTGTGCTGTGGTGTGCTGTGGTGTGCTGTGGTGTGATGTGGTGTGCTGTGGTATGATGTGGTGTGCTGTGGTGTGCTGTGGTGTGCTGTGGAACAAGTATCAGACCAGGTCATTTCAGCAATTTCTGGAAGAACAAACCAGAACAAACCATGGCAGAAAGTGTCCAAGTTAAAGAAGGCCGAATATTTGCCAAACTGGCCGTAACAAACGACCAAAAAAGACGGACCGTTTTTAAAGCTGGCCGTATTTTTCAACCTTGGTGCGAAGCCATGGCACCCCGGTTGACTGCGCACCTCAAACTTGATGGGCGTGACGGCGGCGGCAGCAGCGAGCCCGGCAACAACAGCGTGGCGGTCGAGGCTGCCATCAAAGTTCTTGCAGTCGGCGCACTTGCAGTTGGCGCCGCACAGCACGTTGGCCTGGAAGCACTCGCAGTACTTCTTCAGACACCCGCTCTTGCGGCAGTGGCACCCCGCGCGGTGCCGCCCCGCCACCGCCGTGTGCACGCGCGCCGCCTCGCCCTGCACACAGGGGGGGGGGGGGGTGAGTGAGACGCATTGGAAAGGAGGGATTGGGTAGGGGCAGGGCGGAGTCAATTGGAGTTGAAGGGGGAGGTGTGCACATGCTGTGGGAGCAAGGCTTGGAATTTGGGTTTTTACATTACAGAACGTTTTTCACACTCGTGGAAGCAAGACTGCCACTATGCTCCCTGTGCACGTGACAGACCATGCGATAAGAGCAGCGAGTTGGATGTGCTGGTAGAAGCCTGCATCGACGAGAGAGCCGTTCCAAGTCGCTGGTCTTAACACTTCCCTTGTTTGCAAGGTCCGTCACGTGCAGAGTAACGAGTGAGGTGAGGCGAGTGTGGTGAGGCGAGTGTGGTGCAGCGAGTGGGAGAGCAGGGGGGCGGTGCGAGGGGTGGTGCGAGGGCGAACCGGAGCGGGGGCGTGGGAGGGGCTGTGGGGGGCGATTTTGGGGCTGAAGGCGTTGGGGTTGCGGTCGAGCACGGCGAGCACGGCGAGCACGGCGAGCACAGCCTCGTGGCGCTGCACCTCGTTGGCCGGCGAGTTGCAGCAGTTCACGCAGTTGCACCCCTCGCAGTACAGCCCCGCCGCAAAGCACTCGCAGTACCTGCCATGACATGCCAGCCATCAAGGAGTACAAACGAGGAGGTTGGGGTGAAATGGGAACAGTGCAGATATGGCCCTGCCATGCCAGCACAAGGGAGACAGCACAAGGGAGACAGCACAAGGGAGACAGCACAAGGGAGACAGCACAAGGGAGACAGCACAAGGGAGACAGCACAAGGGAGACAGCACAAGGGAGACAGCACAAGGGAGACAGCACAAGGGAGACAGCACAACGGAGACAGCACAAGGGAGACAGAGTCCTGCCCCCTGCTCTCCACCCATTTAAAAAAGCAGACACAGAAAGTTGCAGGTGGTGCACTGGCAGGGCAGGGCAGGTGGGCGGAGGGCGTACAGCTTGAGGCAGCGCGAGTTGCGGCAGTTGCACGACCGCTTGCGCGGAGGCGTGCTCCCCGCCCCTCCCCCTGCCTCCCGTGCCGCCGCCGCCGCCAGCACTGCTGCTGCCGTGGCCGCGTCCTTCTTCTCCGCCCGTGGCTTCCTGCTGCCCCTGCGTGGCACACACACACACACACGCAGGGGCGGGTGGGGCACGCAGGGAGGGCGGGGCGGGGTTGCATGGCGGGTGAGTGAGAGAGTGCAACACGAGACGGAGAGGACTGAAGGCAACGCATGCAGGAAGAGCAGCACGAGCAAGAGAGCAAGGCGGCATGGAGGCGACCCATGCGATGCGAGAAGAAGAGACGGGGGAGGAGGCAAGAGGAGAGGCGGTGGGGGCGGGGGGAAAGCAAGAGGAGAGGCGGGAGCGCACGTGGTGAAGGGCGAGGAGGAGGGCTGCAGGGGCGGGGCGAGCGGCAGGGGGGCTGGCAGGGTGAGGGGCAGTGCGAGGGGCAGCGGCACACCCATGGCCATGCCCGCTGCCATGGCCACGCCCTGCGCTGATGGCACTCCCAGCACTGCCGCCCCTGCTGCTGCTGATGCTGCTGGGGCTGCTCCTGCTGTGTGCGTCGCTGCTGCTGTTGCTGCACCCGCTGGTGGCGGGGTGAGCAGCGGTGCCATGCTCGCTTCACGTGCCCAGCCGCCTGCAGGCACGGGCACAGGCATGGGCGCCGGAGGCACGGGCAGGGGCAGCGGAGGTTGCAGCATTTCCTGCACGCTCCGGCTGTGCAGCAACCCCTGACCCACTGCTACTACCATCTGCTGCTGCTGCTGCTGCTGCTGCTGCTGCTGCTGCTGCTGCTGCTGCTGCTGCTGCTGCTGCTGCTGCTGCTGCTGCTGCTGCTGCTGCTGCTGCTGCTGCTGCTGCTGCTGCTGCTGCTGCTGCTGCTGCTGCTGCTGCTGCTGCTGCTGCTGCTGCTGCTGCTGCTGCTGCTGCTGCTGCTGCTGCTGCTGCTGCTGCTGCTGCTGCTGCTGCTGCTGCTGCTGCTGCTGCTGCTGCTGCTGCTGCTGCTGCTGCTGCTGCTGCTGCTGCTGCTGCTGCTGCTGCTGCTTCTGCTGCTGCTGCTGCTGCTGCTGCTGCTGCTGCTGCTGCTGCTGCTGCTGCTCCTGTTGCTTTTCGCTTACTTCCCGCACATCACCACCGCCTGCCATGCGCGCTGCTGTGTCCGCCGCCACACCCTGTCTTCGCCGTGCGCCCTCAGGGTTCGCCAAGTCTGCGGATGGCGCTTCCACTGACAAATGCGCCGACTCTTCCTGCGCCTGTCGAGACTGCAGCGCCGCCTGCTGCGCCGCTTGCGAATGTTGTGAGGGTTGAGAGGGTTCCGCGAGTTGCGAGGGTTGCGCGGGTTGCGGGAATTGCGGGGGTTGCGCGAGTTGCGCGGGTTGCGGGGGTTGCGCGGGTTCCGCGGGTTGCGCGGGTTGCGGTGGAGCAGCTCCCGCGGTGAAATCGAGGTGGCGGGGCCGCATGGTGCTGGGCTCTCACAGGCGGCCAAGAGCGATGTAAATCTGCAGCCTTCTCAACACGCGCGTCAAACTACACCAAGATCATCGCAGATCATCGCGTCACCTCAGATTGAGTCAAGCCTCGAGCGCAATAGAATCAGGGAGAAACTTTGAGAACCATGCCTGGAACTAATACTACTCCTCACCGCGCCAATGCCGCACATCACAGCGCAACCGCTGTGGATGCGATGAGGAACGCTGGCGAGGAGGGAGTGCGGTGGACGACGGGAACGATAGGGTTGGTGGGGTGGGACTCTGATTTGTTTTTAGGTTCAAATAACAGTTCGAATTCGGGATGGTTACCAACTTCGTGAATGACGCGAGACAAATGTCAAGCTTTGCACAGGCGGTCACCATTTGTGAATGAACTTGATGCCGTGCATGAGTGTGCTCGATAGCAGCGAAGGTCGCCTCCAGTCCGACCAAAATACAAAAGCTACATTCGGTTCTAAACTGTGAACTTCTGCAAAAATTCATAGATCACACCCGCCCTTAGGGCTGGACGAGGGTGGGTGGGTGGAAGCATGGGCGAACCCTTTGAAAAAAACGTGTTTTATTTGGAGCACAGATGCACAGGAGGACGGTAAGTGCATAGTTGATGGCGTTGGACTATGCAATGGCGATGGCAATGGAGATGGCGATGGCGAGGAGCGAAAGGTGTGTGGGTGCATCCAAGCCCATCAGTCCTGCCTGGCCTGTCAGGAGGCTGGAGTTGTTTCAGCTTGTGCAGGTGGGGGTGGGCGAGGGCCGTCAGAAGCCGTGGCTGAGCGACTTGAGGGCGCAGCGGATGGCGGCGTCCAGCTGGGGCAGCTGCGCGCCCACCACCTCCGCCACGCGCGCCCCGTGCTTCCACACCCTGAACGTCGGCACCGACTGCACGCCCTCCCGCGCTGCCACCTCCGGCAGCACGTCGATGTCCACCTGCCAGAGGGGCACACAGGATACATGTGTGCATCATGTGTGCGTCATGTGTGCATCATGTGTGCATCATGTGTGCATCATGTGTGCATCATGTGTGCATCATGTGTGCATCATGTGTGGGGAGACACGGCTCCCAGCATGCCGTACGCGGTTGTCTGCACCCACATCCACCGCACCCACATCCACCGCACCCACATCCACTGCACCCACATCCACCGCACCCACATCCACCGCACCCACATCCACTGCACCCACATCCACTGCACCCACATCCACCGCACCCACATCCACTGCACCCACATCCACTGCACCCACATCCACTGCACCCACATCCACCGCACCCACATCCACCGCACCCACATCCACCGCACCCACATCCACCGCACCCACATCCACTGCACCCACATCCACTGCACCCACATCCACCGCACCCACATCCACCGCACCCACATCCACTGCACCCACATCCACTGCACCCACATCCACTGCACCCACATCCACTGCACCCACATCCACCGCACCCACATCCACTGCACCCACATCCACCGCACCCACATCCACTGCACCCTCACGACCAAAGCTTGCTGCCCCTGCCCGCTGTTCATGCAGGCCAGCACCTCTCCCCCCAAACACCATGCGTCAGTGCAGGCATCGACGAGAGAGTGGCAGACCTTGAGGAACTTGACGGTGGGGTGGGCGGCGCTGAGGCGCTCAAACAGCGGCGCGGCCTGGCGGCACGGCCCGCACCACGCAGCGCTGAAGGCCACCACCACCAGCCCTGCACGCACCACGCACGAGAAATGGTGCAGGGCAGGGGTGAACACTCAGGACAGGATGAAAGCACAAGACTGTTCCGGCAACGGTGCAGGACAGGGGTGAACATTTGGGATGAGAGCACAAGACAGTTGGAGGAGCACCAGGGTGGCGCAGGAGCAGAGGAGCAGCGGAGCAGCGGAGCAGCGGAGCAGCGGAGCAGGGAGGGCAGTGAGAGAGTGCAGCATGGCATGGCATCGCACCCATGCTGGTGACGGCCCCTCGGAACTCGCTGTCGCTGCGCACCGCCACCACCCTGCCACTGCCGCCACCCCCTCCCGCTGCCGCACTGCCGCCCCTCCTGCCATCCGCCCCACTGCTGCCTGGCATTCCAGCCTTATTCAGCTTCGGTTCCACGTCAGCCAAGGCCTTGGCCACGTCAGCGTCGTTGGGCATGAGCTGGCGCAGCTGCAGATAGTCCCGGTGCGCCGCCTCCCACTGCTGCAGCTGCCCTCCTCCACCACCGTGCCGCAGCCGTGGGGTCACGGGGGAAGACGGTGGGGAGGGGGGGCGAGGGGACGGATAGAGGGGAGAAAAGATGGAGAATATCGGTTTTGTAAGATAGAGGGCATGTTGTCAAGTGACACGTTTTCTGGGTTGACGGAAAGACAAGCCAAGTTTGTCCCTGCAGGTTCGCATCAGTTGTAAAAGAGCAGCGGTCGGGGGCAGATAGAGGATTCACAAATCAGGTCGTGAAACAATGCCTCCCTCCTCACAACCTCCCCTCCATCCTTTCTTCCCTCCTGCCACCACCCGCCCTCTTCCCCCCTCCCCCTCCCTTCCCTCCTCGCCCTCGCGTGGCACCTGCGAGTGGCAGGAGGCCTGGCGCAGCAGCGCCTTGCAGTAGGCGGGGTGGGCAGCGAGGGCGCGCTGGCAGTCCACCAGCGCGTCGTGCCAGCGCCGCTGCTGCATGCGGCACGCAGCGCGGTTGCACAGCAGCACGGGGTTGCCCTCACCGCCCAAAGCTATCCCGCGCGAGTACGCCTCCGCTGCGCCCGCCGCGTCGCCCGCCTTGAACAGCTCGTTGCCCGCCGTGCGGGCCGCCGCCAGCTGGCGCGCGCAGGCGAGCAGCGCGGGCAGCACGGGGTGGTCGGGGAAGAGCTTGGCGCCCTGCTCCGCCCTCGCCACCGCCACGTCGAACCTGGCAGGGGGGGAGGGAGGGGCGAGCACAGGGCAAGGAGGAGGGTGTAAGGCAACCCAACTCACCTGCCGAGCAGCAGGGAGAGGCGCACCTGCCAAGCAGCAGGGAGAGGCGCACCTGCCAAGCAGCAGGGAGAGGCGCACCTGCCAAGCAGCAGGGAGAGGCGCACCTGCCAAGCAGCAGGGAGAGGCGCACCTGCCAAGCAGCAGGGAGAGGCGCACCTGCCAAGCAGCAGGGAGAGGCGCACCTGCCAAGCAGCAGGGAGAGGCGCACCTGCCAAGCAGCAGGGAGAGGCGCACCTGCCGAGCAGCAGGGAGAGGCGCACCTGCCAAGCAGCAGGGAGAGGCGCACCTGCCAAGCAGCAGGGAGAGGCGCACCTGCCAAGCAGCAGGGAGAGGCGCACCTGCCAAGCAGCAGGGAGAGGCGCACCTGCCAAGCAGCAGGGAGAGGCGCACCTGCCAAGCAGCAGGGAGAGGCGCACCTGCCAAGCAGCAGGGAGAGGCGCACCTGCCAAGCAGCAGGGAGAGGCGCACCTGCCAAGCAGCAGGGAGAGGCGCACCTGCCAAGCAGCAGGGAGAGGCGCACCTGCCAAGCAGCAGGGAGAGGCGCACCTGCCGAGCAGCAGGGAGAGGCGCACCTGCCAAGCAGCAGGGAGAGGCGCACCTGCCAAGCAGCAGGGAGAGGCGCACCTGCCAAGCAGCAGGGAGAGGCGCACCTGCCAAGCAGCAGGGAGAGGCGCACCTGCCAAGCAGCAGGGAGAGGCGCACCTGCCAAGCAGCAGGGAGAGGCGCACCTGCCAAGCAGCAGGGAGAGGCGCACCTGCCAAGCAGCAGGGAGAGGCGCACCTGCCAAGCAGCAGGGAGAGGCGCACCTGCCAAGCAGCAGGGAGAGGCGCACCTGCCAAGCAGCAGGGAGAGGCGCACCTGCCAAGCAGCAGGGAGAGGCGCACCTGCCAAGCAGCAGGGAGAGGCGCACCTGCCAAGCAGCAGGGAGAGGCGCACCTGCCAAGCAGCAGGGAGAGGCGCACCTGCCAAGCAGCAGGGAGAGGCGCACCTGCCAAGCAGCAGGGAGAGGCGCACCTGCCAAGCAGCAGGGAGAGGCGCACCTGCCAAGCAGCAGGGAGAGGCGCACCTGCCAAGCAGCAGGGAGAGGCGCACCTGCCAAGCAGCAGGGAGAGGCGCACCTGCCAAGCAGCAGGGAGAGGCGCACGTGCCGAGCAGCAGGGAGAGGCGCACCTGCCAAGCAGCAGGGAGAGGCGCACCTGCCAAGCAGCAGGGAGAGGCGCACCTGCCAAGCAGCAGGGAGAGGCGCACCTGCCAAGCAGCAGGGAGAGGCGCACCTGCCAAGCAGCAGGGAGAGGCGCACCTGCCAAGCAGCAGGG